AACCCTAAATAGATTAGCCCTGAAAAATTGATTTTATATTCATAGTTGATTTTTGACTGGCCGAGAAGTTGAGGAGACTGAGGAGAAGCGAATGTTCGAAACATAAATTTCAGACGAGATCCTTCCCGAGCAAAGCCATGGGAGTCACTTGTTGGGTGCCTGATTCCAATTCTGGCCTTGATATCAACCACTGGATTGCTGAGTTGGTGTGGATGGAAGTTTCAGGTGATTTCTGTGGCGAACTCTCAAACTATCTTTATAAGTTGTGGTTCTTCAAGCACAAAAATTTCAGTCTATTATCGTAGCCGCCTTCTTTCTGGTCTTATCAGTTGGAGTTGACGACGTATTCATAATTCTTCGAGCTTGGGACCGAACAAGTGCTGATGACGACGTTCCCGAACGGATGGCGTTGACTTTGGAGGAATCTGGTCCTAGCATCCTTATCAGGTAAACAGTTGCGTAGATATTTCCCTTCTAAAAAAATTTCCCCTGCAAAAATTTCAGTTCCATTACGAATGCAATGGCGTTTTTCATCGGCATGACCTCACAAACACCTGCTGTGCGGTCATTTTCGCTTTACTCAGCTATAGCGATCTCAATATGCTTCTTCTATCAGCTAATTATGTTCAGTGCGGTCTTATCGGCTAGCGGATACCGAGAAAGAAGAGGCATGCAGAGCTTCTTCTGCTGCAAAAAAGCAAATCCAAAGGTATATCATCTTTTAATGGACAAGTCGCAAGATGTTCCTTTCTACAAGGCATCATTACTATAGACTTAGTGAGCTTATGATTCGCTGCAGGACTATGCAAAGGAGTTTATCGCTCGTCATCTGCGCTTCTTATCAAATGATCTAACATTTAGATAGGAGCAGTATTTTTTATAAAAGCGAAGGCAGAGACGCAGAGAGCGAATGACTAACTCGTCTATCTATCCTTTGATTTAACCAGATAGGCGGTTGGGAGGTGGGATTTCGTAATTAACCAGAGCTAGAGAGTGGTCAGAGAGCATGCGCGCGGGAGAGACACAGATGCTGCGCGGATGCAAGCGGTAACCCTTCGAGCCGCCTAATCCATCAAATCAAAGGGTGACTGTGTTGTTTGCGTGGGTCCCGCAGCGCACTCCACAGTAGGAGCGAACTGCAGTAAACGCCCATGCATCTACCATTTCAACAATATTCTGTAACAAATTAGCGAATTCTTGATTTCAGGCTCGATCAGTTTTCGTAGAAAAAATCGTGCTCCTTCAAAATATTGTCATACGGTATTATTCGCGGATTATCTCTACATGGACGGCAAGGTTTGTTCTTGCTCTTTCAATAATACCAATTCCACGAAAATTGAAGAGAATGGGTTATATCTATAAATCGGTCCGGTGCATTATTCAACCCTATTCATTAATGTGATTTGAATTTTAATCTTAGGTAAGAGAACTT